TATACATAAGAGATTCAGTGAGTCTATGGCAGAGATTGATTGATCATTTGGTTTCCGTGTGTTTATAACCTTAGCATACGTGAGTTGACTTATTACCATAATTGCCATATTTGAGATTTTCGTGAGTTTATGGCCTTACCATACATGAATTGATTTATTACCATATTTGAGATACGCTGGGTTTTCACGTGAGACAAAAAAACTCAGTAACAGAGGAAAAACCGGTTGAAGGGGAAGAAAAATCGGTGGAAGGGGAAGAAAAGTCGGTGGGAGCGGGGGCTCTCGTAAGTGGAGGGGCGGACGAAAGGTGGGACGACATAAGAGGGGAGAGGGAACGTTATGTTTCTTTTAGATAGTAGAGATTATGGAGATTTCATGTCAAAAAAAAGAGATTATGGAGATTTGCAGGAGGGTAAAACGGTAAAAGGCCAGGTTGGAGCCGGCTGCGAGGAGCTCCAGCCCGAAATAGCAACTGCGGCTTCTGGGCCATTTCTGTGTGGAGCCGGCCCAGGAAAAGGCCCTTTGGCGCGGCTCTGGCTTCTACAGCCCCCCCCCCCACACCTAAGAAAAAGCACACCCGTAGTTTCCCTCCGCCGCCGCGGCCCTGCCCCATTCCTCGCGGCCTCCTGCTCCTCTACGCCGCCTACCGCCAGGTTCTGCCCGCCCCCTCCCGGCCCACCCCTCCGTTGTCGACCGTTCTCGCATGGAGAAGGCACAAGGGGCACCACCACCGGCGCCGCGGCAGTCCAGTTCCACCACCGCTGGTAGGTCCTTTGCTAATACACCGACGAACTGGTGATCTTATATGCTTTTGATTCTAAAAAATATGGTTGATCTCAGTAATCACAAGGCCCAAAGGCGTAGCTGGGCCCAGGCTATCAGGGCCATGGCCCGGGGCGTGGGAAATTTTTTAGCCTATATCTTTTAGAATTTCAAAAGTGGCCCGGGGCGTTGGCGCGGCTCAGCCCGGCACCTGCCCCTCTGGCCCTATCGACCAGTTCACCAGAGAGGCAGAGACGATAGAGGAACCCTACGCATCGAGCCAGGCAGCGAGCCACCGGCCGCCGCTCGTCAAATCCGGCGCCCCGTCTAACCCCGTCCAGTCCATCTGCTCATCCAGCGAGGCGGCGACCCCGCTCGCACGGCTTCACCTGCTGCACTCCGCTGCTCGTGCGCGACCTCGCCCCGCCTCTCGTCCAGCGACGCCCCGCCTCCCGTCCAACGCCCCGCCTCCCGTCCAGCGACGCCCCGCCTCCGACCTCCCGCCACCATCCGGCCGCCCGGCGACCTCGCCACGCCTCCGGCCTCCCGCCACCGTTCAGCCAGCCAGGTACTCTTCTGTCCTCTGCCTACTCCCAAATCGTTACTTCCTTTGACAAAGCACACAGCAGGTCTTTTGAATATTTTGCTCTCTGAGTTAATGCATCAATTAGCTCCATTCAAATTGATGCTTCAAAATACACCTTGATGGCTTGATTGCTTAATTGTTGCAGTAGAAACTGTTTTCCTAATTTTTGTTGCAATTTACAGGAAGATAAGATGAACAAAAGAACTAGGGCAACTCGTTGATTTGGTACCCTCTATTGTATTATTTATCCTTTATATTGTCTTCTGTTATGTGTTACATTATCAGATGAAGCACTGTTAAATATTGTGTTCAGATTTTTATCAGTTGCAAATGAGCGTTGCTTTTGTATGCCTTAAAACTGGGGTAGTTTTTGAGAATTTTTTTGGCCCTTCATTGTTGGCCCGGGGCGTCAGCCAATCCTGGCTACGCCGTTGACAAGGCCTATGCTCATTTAGGCCATGTAGCAGACAGCAATGCCCCTACAGGATTAGGATTTAGGAAGGCAAAAAAATGTCAGGATTATAGTCTAAAAAACCATGAAGAAACTTATGCAGCAGATGAGTATTGATCAGTACCATTCCATGAATAAAGGGCACAAGGCCATCCTTCCATTATCCTTGTCCCATTTTGTAAAGTAAGTTAGGCGGCCACTACCGTTGAGAAGAAAACATAGATATGCCCCTTAAAAAACTCTATGCTAGCTCCTGTGTTTTGTAGTATTGCGCTAAATTCTTTCCATCAGCTGTTTGGATAACAACGTCCTAAGCAATCTGGATGAAAGTTAGCTGGAATGAACATGTGTAACTAAATCTAAATGCATATATACTTTGAGGAGGAGTTCAATCCATACAGCTGCATTGTTGCTATTTAATTTTTAAATTCTCAGCTATATGGAAATTGATACTTCCTTTCAGGTCTCTGTGCTGATATCAGAATAACAGTTACAAAGACCTGAAAATTTAATCATACAGTAAATATGCGACCAGCATGCAGTTCTAATTTTAATTTGCTAGAGATTATTAGTTTTAGTTTGTAAGAAATATACTTATATGGGTTTTGCAAAATTCTTTCCAAGCTTATGGGGCCGTGAATCTCATGGACGAGGGCCTCGCCGCTTCTGAACCCGGCCCGTCTGTCGCCAAGAGGGCTCGGTTTATGGGGCCGCACGCATCCAGTAGCTCAGGCGCTGTCCCTGAGGTGGAGATCCGAGCACTAGTCTCGATGGCCAGCGGACTCTACCCATTGGCACGGGCGGAGGCGCTCAGCGGCCTCGCTGCGATCCTCAAGAAGGTGAATGCCGGCGGCGGGGTTGTGGAGTGCTGCTACGCTTGCGCGGAGAAATTGCTGAGGGACGAGGACGAGGGTATCAGGTTGGCCGCTGTACGATTGGTGAGATTTTGTCATTTATGGGTACTTATGTTTTCTTTTGTGCTACTGTATGCTTTGAGAGTTACATACGAGGAATTGAGGAGATCTCCTGTCTTCGGTGGATAGATTGGCCTTTGTGCGGAGAAGTTTGCCATGAGAGAGGAGTTGGGTGGTGATGGTGACCAAATGGACCAGGTTTTCCTACAGGTATGGTTTGCACTTCGCGCTGGATTTGGTGTTCATGAACGGTAGGATTAACTAGCTGAGTGTGGGCCTAATGTTAATGTGATACCGACATTTTTATTTAGCCTAATACTTCTGTTTCTATATGTCAATTCCAGGCTACTAAAGTTTGGAATGAATAGTTATACGACATGCCCATAACTGATACTGGGAGCGATGTTCTTGTTTTTTACTTAAACGACCTGTATTTTCGGCAATTTACCTTTCTGTTCTTAGCACCAGAAATCCTTTTGACAAGGTGAAACTACTAATGGCAAATGAGATTTACTACTGAAACATGCAGTTTGTGATGCACACAATAAGAAGGATGCATCTAATCATGCTTGTGTGCATTTAATATTTGTAACTTGCAAGTTTTACTCCACTGACCACTGTAATGATAACTGCTTTGTTTCCCCTTTGGACTTCTCTATTCAGCTGAGCTCCATGGCTAGGGACATGTGTACAGAAGTAAGAATTGAAGCATTCAACTCACTTGCCAAAATGCAGAGAGTATCTGGAGGTGTTTTGCTTCAGTCGCTGTCTAAGAAGATCATAAAAACTGACACCGGGAGTGCCTCTAGCGTCAAAGGGAAAAAACTACCACCTAAATTATCATTCCCCTGTGCTGCTGGCATATTTGCACATGGGGTTGAAGATGAATTCTATCAGGTCAGGTCATTCTCTTATACCACATAATTCCCCTTAACGTCCCGTGTCTTTTGTTTATTGTTCTATATGTTCTCCCTACAGGTCCGAACAGTTGCATGTAAAACGCTGGGAGCTCTTGCAAAGCTTTCAAACCAATATGCACAGAAGGCCTTGGACTTGTTGATGGACATGATGAATGATGATACAGAAGCAGTTAGACTGCAAACTTTGCAGACACTGTTTGATATGGCAACATATGGATGTTTGAGCATGCAGGAGAAGCACATGCACATGGTACTAATTATCAATATAATGTATCTTGTGTAAGCTAGATGTATGAATTGGTTCTTTATTTGTAGTTAACTGTGCTAGATGCTAAATTTGGTAATCTTATGCCTCCTGTTGCTTTTGCAGTTCCTTGGCATATTGATGGATGCCAACATCGTAGTTCGAAATGCAGCACGCAAGATCCTAGGGTCAGTGAATCTGCCTAAACTTCAAATGTTTAAATCTGCACTTGATGGTCTGATTGCAGGTCTGGAGAAAAATCCGGAGGTATGTTAGTGCAGAACAATCACCATGCTCACAATTATCTCTCCCTTGCTATTCTGATCTTTGCTTGAACATTTTCTAGATGAATTATTTGTGTAGTCAATGTAACACAAAGCCTCAATTATCCTGCTAAATGTTAATTTGAGTTTCATTCAGCGTATAGAATATTGCTTACTCTATAATTATTTGAGGCTTTGAGCCTATGACTTCAATTTTGTGGTAACTGACTCTTTTCTTCTATGTTGCGACCGTATTTATTATATGCAGGATCAAGATATATATGACGTTCTGTTTTCCATTGGCAAGAATCATGGGAGCTTTTCAGCCAATATAGCCAAACATTTAGCCAAAGAGGTGTTTCTCCATTGCTTACTTCCAATTTTATCTACATGCTAATGTTCTATATAAAATGTATGTTTTCACTTTCAGTATTGCTGCTGCACTGATTCTTTCTGTTTGCGCGGTTCTTTCAAGTTCGGTATATACTAGAAAGGAGGTACCATCTCAAGTTCGGTAGTGTGTACCCATGTTCTTATTTTCTGTCAGTCGTATGGAATTTGAGAATATTGCAAGCTATCAACCTTAAATAAATAACAATGAATGCATCTATATTTGCAGGCTGCTAAGTAATTTGTAACGATGAAGTCTACTCAACCCCAACTGTAGATTTCTTTTTTAGCCAAGTAATACTTTAAGGATGTGTTGCATATTTACAGTTTGATTTAGGACAACTGAATCTGGAAGGCAAAGAGCATATTTAATATATATATATATTTAGAAGATCATATTAATATACATTATCCACGTGAGCCAAATGTTTGAAGCCCTGTGTAATACCTATCCTATAAGATACACCTGATTATGTGGACTTCGTACTGATATGAACATCAAAGTTTGGTTGCTTGATAGTGCATGGGATCGGCCACTCGATGATGCCCAAACCTGTGACAAAAGATGGTACCTCCTGTTTAAGTATACCTGGTTTGCCCAACCTTCTCAATTAGTTCGGACTTTTGGGTGAACCGTCTGGTGCGTGAAGCGTTACCCCTCCAGCTGAGATGGCAACAATCAACAAAGTGCAAGTCAATAAAACAAATAAGGAGAAAAATCTATAACATTGTTTGGCGAGTACAAATTTGAGTTACCGCAGGTTTTTATAGACCAGAAAATATATAATGTCATTACAGTTGTTTGCTGATATCTAACACTTGTCTACAACATTTAGAAGACTACACATAGTTTATCATAAGTTACCATTTGTTTTTCTAGGTTTCGTGAGGGAAAGAAGTATACTCCCTCATTTGAGAATGTATTCCCATTTTTTGACTTTCTGCTGTCAATGTAAGACTAAAACCACAGTCTGAGACCACAATATGGTACGTGTTTTTTCCAAAATTTGGATTTTGAGAATACCCAAGGCACGGCTTGACGCACTCTGTCAGATTATTTGTGGCCGCGTTGCCATGTGACCATTGTTAGCAGATTGTTTGAGCGGTCCTGGTAGCTCATTTATTTTGTAAAATAGAGATCATAGTAGACAGTATAGCAGGCATCGCACCAGCTGAGATTCCTTTCGTTAGATGATAAAATATCATTGGAGCTGAGACTTGAGTTCTACAACGAGAGGTGCTTACAGTTTAGCATGGAAACAACTAAAAAAATTCCGAGAATAGTGGAATACATCAGATCAAAGCCTTAGGCTTCCTCCCCTCAAAGGCCCCCTTGCTGTCAAAGAGACATTGTCTTTCAGCATTCAGAAGGTTGATATTTGATACTGTTGCAGCGAGCAGCATAGTTCCTCTTGTTTGACTTCCCTTAAAACCTTCCTCAAGAGTGCACCAGAGTGTTCCATTTCTCCAACATTGTATCTTCTTTATTTGGGTTGTCGTCTTTTTCCAAATATCTCTTTAGCTGAGCCGGGCATGGGCTGACCCGCCACTTTTTACAGTTTTACATCAAGGCCAAGAAACAAAAATTTGCGAGGATATGGTCACGTACTAAGTATAAGCCATGATGGTAACTCATTTTATAGGTCTTCTGTATCTCTACCAACTGGATGAGAAAAAGTAATAGTTGTAGGAATGTGAATAGCCAAGTCTATCAAGTAAGGAGAAAAACGCCGCTGCTTGCTCATAGCCTCATACACCTTTTGCACATCATAATGGTTTGTCTGTCTAGATATCACATTGCCTACAATATATTAAAACAATAGGCAGGGTTGTCAGTGAGGAACATGCCTACATTATTCTTTGCTCAAACTGCCCCAAATCAATGTGAAGTGCGAGCCAAATCAGATGAACAGAGGATGCATCACAACACTACTAGTTTAGGGATCTTACCGATTCAAAGAAATGCTGACAGCAGTTTGCAGATTAACATGATGTGTCTTTCTCAACTGCATTATCATTGAATAATTTCTGGCACACGTAATTTCCTTTCTCTTTGGGGGTATTATGACCTGAGATGGTGTGTTCAGTATGTGAGGTACAGTCTCACTTCTCTTTAGATCCAATAGCAAAAAAGAACACCTAGCAGCATGCCATGCACACACACTTGGTTTGCGAATAACTTTTAACATATTTAAATCAGCTTTATATATTTAAGTTCCAGCTTATCCTCCTTAGGCCCAACTAGGAATGAGCATAAGCAAACAATGTGGTGAAAAGAATTTGAATATTAATTCCACTGACCAACCATATTTTCTCACTTTAGCTTTTTGTTATTCTCAACATACAAGGACTTCGGACTTGTTTTTATGCGTAGGTAGAGTAATATCTTCATTTGCTACATTGAGTATAGTAACATTTCTTTTGGATTTTTTATGAAGTTCTGTTATATCCCTTAATGCTATATTATCTATGACATAGATCAGTATGGCATCTGATGGAGAGCTGATCTTGGATAAACCTAGAATTAAAGCATTGTTAATGGTTTCTGTCTCGGCTGCTTATGATGATAAAGACAAAAAACTGGATATACCCACAGTTATATTTTCACATGCAATTCCCCTATTTGGGATGATCTCGTGTGCACTAGCCGAAGATGAACAGGATTCACTCTTATCCTACTTGTATCGTCAAGTTGGAATGCAGTTCTGGGAAAAGAAGTTAGTGTCTGCAGAAGGTGGAGATTATGAATGTTTCAGTGTTGAAACTGTGGGAGGAACTCATGCACAGGTAGAAACGACTGGAAAAACAAGCAAGTACTCAGATGAAGTCGTGATAATGCAATCGTCACGGCTCATATTAGAAACAGTTAAAGGAGCCTGGGTTGTGATAAAGCCGTACAGTATAGGAGAAGTTCAAAGTACTCTGAGGTATGACTTACCATATTCCGTTCTTTCCCATGCAACCAATCTTTCATGCTATTGTTTGTGATTACTTCAACTTCTTTTGATTATCTTTATTGTAGAACATGCAAAGAAGAAGTCAATAGCTTAGCTGTAAATTCTTCTGGATCAACTAGTGCGGTGTTGAGCTTTGTATGCGACTATCTTGATGCAGTACAGCTCATTGTTGAAATATGGTGGTTCATTCAGTTGGATGATTCTCATGCTTTTGGCCCCACATCACTTGATATTTTGCTTGAGAAGTTGGATACATCTGTGAGAAGGATGAAATGTTGTTATGCTGGATTGAATAGAGAACTGGAGGTTCAAGTCTTGGAGTTTGCTTTGTTAGCTATCTTATGTAGACTGTCCGAGTTTGGAACATGTTCAAAATTAGTGCTAGATAAGTTGCATTGGATAATTAATCACATTGATGGTCTGTGTGCCGATGGATCCTATGAGCTTTCCGACTTCAGCAAAGAAGTTAAGAAAGTGTTTGATGGTAACTTTATCGACGGCACTCCTATTGTCAACATTTGCACCTTTCTTGAAATCTTTGATCTAAAACCAGCAAGAGATTTTGAAATGCTTAATGCTACAACTGCTGTGCTGCAAGTCCGGGATACAGATTCTGAAAATCCGTTATCATATGTTTATGGATTACCCGTGGGGGTGACCTTTGACATGTCTCTGTGCAATACCTCTAGTCATGATAGAATATGGCTCCGCATGGTTGCTGGTCAGTCCGTCCAACATGTCTTCTTAGACTTGTCGTGTTTTGAGGGCAATGATAAGATGAAGAGCTGCTCCAGAGTCATTCCTTTCTATGCTACCCCAATGGCATGTTCATTTGTTCTGAGGGCATGCTTGGTAATTGAATGCCCATTTGGAAGTATCGGCACTCACCAGGAACGACATGGAGGACCAAGAGATTGTGTAGTCCAACTATGTGATGAATTGGATGTCTACTTTGTTAGTGCTGATACCGAGCAAAGGCAATGGTTGAAATGATAGTGGTCATGTGCACCAAGTTCTTCAGCATGCCCGCTTTGATCGACTGCACCATTGTGTTCTAACATCAACTGGGATCAAGTAATATGCGAAAGGAGTTAAGATACCAGTAGTGACTAATGAGGAGTTTCATATGATTAGTTGTGTCACTGTAGTATCAGATCAAACTCTGATTAGTTGTTTTCTTTAAGAATTGAGAATTTTTCTATGGCATGTGACCAGAAGAAATGTTATCTCATAGCCGATATAGTACTAGCAAGAACTCTGGGTAAAGAATTCGGCTGCGCTGATATTTTGGTAGCGGTAAGCAGGAACAAAGCAGTTACCCGACCACTAAGATGTGTTGCTGTTGCTAGTGTATGTTAAATTTGCGCCGTATGTATATGTAAAGGGTCGGCATATGACTGAAGAATTGAAAATCCTGTGAATTTTATGAGGCTGCTGAATTAGAGGTTGCGGAGGCCAATGTTCCTTGTGCATGTATGATTTGTGTGTCTAATGTGTGTTCTGCGCCTGGGACAGGTTCGCCGTTAGTGTAACTTTGGACTTACCATACGCTGTGCCGCATGACAGCGGCTTTTTTTTGTTTGTTTGTTGTGTGTTTACGTTTGTCGAAAGTACCGCTGGTGTCTGTTTCTTGCGTTCGCTGTGGCTTCTTTTCTTCTTATACAAAATACTCCACCCCTTTCGGTTTATGGGGCTCAAATTTTAAATCTCATCAACCAAGGCATTTTGTGAGTGGAGGAATGTATCTCGTACTTTACAAAACTATTTCAATTAAACTCATGCATTAATTTGGATTAATTACAGTGCATGCATGCTTGGCCATTACTCCCTCCGTTCCCAAATATTTGTCTTTGTAGAGATTTCAACAAGTGACTACATACGAAGCAAAATGAGTGAAGCTACACTTTAAAATATGCCTACATACATCCATATATTGTGTCCATTTGAAATGCCTAGAAAGACAAATATTTAGGAACGGAGGGAGTAGAGATGAGTAGGAACATTACATGCATTTGTGTGTTCTTTTTTAATTCTTGCATGCAAATATTTAATGCGCATTGGAAACTAAAAATAATATAGAGATGAGCCCTTTAAATTGGAAAAACAAAAGTTGAGATAGGCCTTATAAACCGGAGATGAGGGAGTACATGCCCAGCAACTGCACTCGCGATCTTGTATAACCAGCCTTCATCTACAAATCATGTTGATTCGTTCATTTCCACTGAATCCTTAGTTGATTCTTTTTTTTTGTTATTGCCTTAAAAAAAAGTTGATTTGTGAAAATTCCCATGCGGACGATCGAGGACAAGGGTGAAAAATATCCAAGACAAAGCTAAGAACCATGCACAAAAGTTTAGTAGGATAGGATGAACTAAAAAAAAATTGATTCCCCTGGTGCACGAAACCTCTGATTACACCGCAGGACAAAGCCGCGAACTGAACATGGTCGGTCGTTCTATCTATCTCCTGTCTGCGAGAAGCCGAGAACAGAACGGACAGATACGATCTTCTCCCTTCCTCGTCGCGCATGCAGATTGCGGCTCCGTAATCTCGTCAAGAGCGGCACGGTCTCTCCTCAGTACCTCCCGGCGCATGGCGTAGTACTCATCGCTTCGGCGGCGGCCCCACAGGTGGTTCTGCTCCATGGCCTTCGCCTCGTGCATCTCCACACGGCGGCCGGACTCGCTGCCCCCTGCCGCGCTGCTCTTCCCGGCGGCGGTTACGGGCTTCAGAGGCGCCTCCGTGGACACGAGGGGGCGAACCTTCACGGCGGTGCTGCTCCGCCGAGCTTCCTCAAGCCCCGAACGCTTATGCGCAGCCATCCATTGGCTCTTCTTGGCCTCGAAAGCCGCCGACAGTTCCTCCACCGCCGCCCGCATCCTGCGTCTGTCTCGCGCGTCGTCGTTCCAACAGGGATGTGGGACGCCGCCTGATCGCTGCTTCGCCTCCGCGATCAGCCGTTTCTGCTCGTCGATCCACTCCCGCTTTGCGGCCTCGTTAGCCAGCGCTTCCCGGCGTTCCCTCCGACGACTCCGCCATGTGCTTGGTCGCGGCCTTAGCGAAGCGATCAGCTGATCGTACTCTTCCTTTCTCTTTCTCCTCGCGATCTCGCGCGCTTCCTCCGGGGACGGGACGTGCGCGCGGCGGCGGAACCAGCTCGGCACCAACGCGAGGGACGCCATTGCCAGTGCAGACTCGATCGGGCGATACGCTCTTTCTCCTGGATACGCTCGCCTTATATGGTGGTGGACACCTGATATGGCAAGCCGTCTTGCGATCGAGCGTTCAAGCCGTGTCCGAACCAGGGACAGTAGTGCGTTGATCCAACGCTTAGTACTCCTACGTCTCGCTCGACATTTCGGAGTCAGATCCATGTATGTTACTATCTCCTACTCTATCGATGGTGTTGGCACGACAGCCGCAAACACCAAATCCAGGCCCTAAAATGTCCGTGATGTGCCCGGACACGTCCGCTCTGCATTCGAATACCTCATATATATAATCTATAATAACTAAATAGCTTATCCTCACTATCTTATTTCTCTTGACATGCAACCTAACCACATTATCAATTTTTTTTTCATTTTAGCTAATTTCTATTAACATCTAGACTTGCATGTGGTCGCTCTATTTTGAGTCTTAAATTACCAGCGAAGGTGTCAATTCGCAAACAGGGAAGAAAGCCCAGTCATCCTGCCCCACCATCCTTTCCGCGGCACCTCTCCTCCGCCTCTGCCAGCGCTGCCCGCTGCCTCCCCTCCTCCTCCGTCACCATCCCGCTGTCCTTACCGTTGTCCTTGGTGGCCTATGTTTGTGGGTGGAATCAGACCGGCCGATGGAGTCTCTCCTGGAAGGATGCTTTGCCCGACGACTCAACCATGGAGTGGATGCCGCGTCGGCCAAGTGACCAGCCGGTGGACACCTTTCTTTTTCGGCCTTCAAGTTATGTGCTGATGGTAATGTAGGGTAGGGCCTCCATTGGCATCCATGGCTTGCAGCATCGTTGGATCGACCTCGAGTTTTCTTTAGAATTACAGGGTGCTTACATGAGAACCAACACAAGCTCATGCACATGTCAAAGGAGAGTTGGAGAAATAGCAGGAAAGGCAATTCCCACTACCTCACTAAATTTGTTTTTTTGTTTTACCATATTCTATCTTAAAAGCTTGATTCTAGTGCATTGTTTGTTTCTTCATCGGGTTACTAATAACATGGTCTAATCAATTGCGGCCCCTCTTCTCCTTGAAAAGTATGGATAACCGTTCACTTCATGTTTTCCTTACGGGGATGATCACTAGCAAATCTCCTAGCTTACGGTACTAATTCAACAGTCCAAGTGTGTTTTTATCATTCTCTCATTAATTATTTCATGCTTCACTGGTTTTGTGCTTTCGATTTTTAAGCAATTGCTTTTAGTTTAGCCTTCTATTGTTATATTATGCTTATCCCGCACCCACTATTTTTAAGTTGTACTCCTCATGCCCACTAAGAAAGCCCAATCAATTAGCACTAGCCTATGTTTATTTCAGGATTTTCTGATTGTAGGATCTTGCTATCACTGCTGTAAAAAGTAACCAGATAGGTATCTCTCGAGTTATTTACGCAAAACGCCACATTTGGGGTTAAGGTAACAACTTCGTACCCTATTTGTGTCGGGGCATAAAAACCCACCAAAACCGCGCCTAATCTGTAACGCAGAGCATTGCTGCTTGATACGTCTCCAATGTATCTACTTTTCCTAACGCTTTTCCTCTTGTTTTGGACTCTAATTTGCATGATTTGAATGAAACTAACCACGGACTGACGTTGCTTTCAGCAAAACTATCATGGTGTTGTTTTTGTGCAGAAATAAAAGTTCTGGGAATGGAATGAAACTTTGCGAGGGTTTTTATACAACAAAAGAGAGTTTAAGGAGCCAAGACCTGCCAGAGAGGTGCCCCTGGGTGGGCACAACCCACCAGGGCGCGCCCCTCTCCTGGCACGCCTAGGTGGGTTGTCCCCACCTGGTGGCCCCGCAGACCCTGAAACGAATGCTATAAAATCCTATTTTCAGAGAAAAAACAGAGAGAAAGAATTACCACGATCCACGAGACGGAGCCGCCGCCAAGCCCTGTTCTTTCTCGGGAGGGCAGAACTGGAGTCCGTTTGGGGCTCCGGAGAGGGGGATCTTCGTTCTTCATCATCACCAACCCTTCTCCATCGCCAATTCCATGATGCTCCCCACCAGGAGTGAGTAATTCCTTCGTAGGCTCGATGGTCGGTGAGGAGTTGGATGAGATTCATCATGTAATCGAGTTAGTTTTGTTAGGGCTTGATCCCTAGTATCCACTATGTTCTTAGATTGATGTTATTATGATTTTTCTATGCTTAATGCTTGTCACTTTGGGCCCGGGTGCCATGAACTCAGATCTGAACCATTTATGTTATCATCATTATATCCATGTTTTAGATCCAATCTTGCAAGTTATAGTCACCTACTACGTGTTATGATCCGGCAACCCCTGAGTGACAACAACTGGGCCCACTCCCGTTGATGACCGTAGTTTGAGGAGTTCATGTATTCACTATGTGTTAATACTTTGTTCCGGTTCTCTATTAAAAGGAGGCCTTAATATCCCTTAGTTTCCAATATGGACCCCGCTGCCACGGGAGGGTAGGAAAAAAGATGTCATGCAAGTTCTTTCCATAAGCATGTATGGCTATTTACGGAATACATGCCTACATTATATTTACAAACTGGAGCTAGTACCGTATCGCCCCAGGTTATAACTGTCTCATGATGAATATCATCCAACAAGTCACCGATCCAATGCCTACGAATTTATCTTATATTGTTTCTGCTAAGTTACTACTGCTATCATCACTGTTACACTTGCTACAAAATTACTGCTATCACTGTTACCGTTACCGTTGCTATTGTTACTATTATCAAAACTATCAAACTACTTTGCTACTGATTACTTGCTGCAGATAATTAATCTCCAGGTGTGGTTGAATTGACAACTCAGCTGCTAATACCTTCAAATATTCTGTGGCTCCCCTTGTGTCGAATCTATAAATTTGGGTTGAATACTCTACCCTAGAAAACTGTTGCGATCCCCTATACTTGTGGGTTATCAAGACCTTTTTCTGGCGCCGTTGCCGGGGAGCATAGCTATATTTGTTAAGACACTTTGGGATTATTATCATATTATCACTATGAAGAATCTGAAGGATCCTAAGACTAAGATTTATCCCTCAAAGACGAGGGGAGGTAAGGAACTGCCATCCAGTTTTGCTTTAGATTCACCTTCTGTTATGAGTAAACTTGCAATACCGCCACATGCTATTAGTTCTAATATGTCGCAAGTTATTGATGATGCTACTTCTGCTATGAATAATGCTTATGATGATGCTAATACCTTGCTTGATAATTATGATGTGCCACTTGGTGAATTTCTTGATGAACAAATTGCCAGAGTAATACAACATGATGTTGTTGAATCTGATGATGAGCTTGAAACTAAAACTCCTGAAACACCTGCTAGAACTAGCCTTCCTAGATATGAATTGCCTAAGGTACCGGAAGGTTATGTTATGAATGAGGAGACAACTAGAGATATTCTTGCTTGTAAGGATAGAGATGATCTAGAGAAATTATTATGCAAGTATAAAGAAAAATCTCTGAATGCTAGAATGAAATGTGATCCTAAGTTTGCTACTTCACCTATTTTTATTGATTACAAGGATTATGAATTATATGTCGACCCAGAGTTAATTACTCTGATTGAATCTGATCATTTCCATGGTTATGAAACTGAAACTGTTGTGGCACATCTTCTAAGTTGAATGACACAACCACTCTTTTTACTCATATGAGAAAACTCGCTATTACTTTATTCTCAAATTATTTCCATTCTCATTAAAGGGTGATGCTAAAGCTTGGTACAAAACTCTTGCTCCTGGTTGTGTGCGTAGTCCCCAAGATATGATTTATTACTTCTCTGAAAAATATTTTCCTGCTCATAAGAAACAAGTTGCCTTACAAGAAATATTTAACTTTGTTCAAACTAAAGAAGAGAGTCTCCCACAAGCTTGGGGGAGGCTTTGCCAGCTACTTAATGCTTTGCCCGATCATCCTCTTAAGAAAAATGAAATACTTGACGTCTTCTATAATGGACTAACTGATGCTTCTAGGGATTTCCTAGATAGTTGGGCTGGTTGTGTTTTTAGGGAACAAACTGTTGGGCAAGCTGAAGAATTATTGAATAACATATTGAAAAATTATGATGATTGGACTATTCCTGAACCACCGCTTAGACCCACTCCGAAGAAGAGGGGTATATTATATCTCAGTCCTGAAGATATGCAAGAGGCAAAGAAATCTATGAAGGAAAAATGTATTAAAGCTGAGGATGTTAAAAATTTACCTCCTATTGAAGAAATACATGGGCTTAATACACCACCACCACCTAAAGTGGCGAGGTAAATTCTCTAATGAAATTCAGTGATAATGACAATCCTCACAATATGCATCCTAGTCAATGCCTTTATGAGTTTGAAAACTACATTAGAAAACCAGATCACTTCAATGCAAATGTTATGAAACAATTGAAATATAATTCTGATATGATTGCTCGCTTGAGAGACTTGTTATTTAGGATCTCAAATGATGTTAGAGGTGTTGGAAAACATGCTTCTATGGTACAAACTCAGTTAGAACAAGTTGCTAAATCACAAAAAGAATTGCTTGATGAAATGAATAATAATATGCAAGACTTTGCTGTTAGAGTTGCAACTAGAGGAGGTTAAATGACTCAGGAACCACTTTATCCCGAGGGACACCCAAAAGGAATTGAACAAGATTCACAAAGAGCTAACACTAGTACACCTAGTCCTTCTAGAAAGAAAGAGAAAAAGAAAAAGAAAAATGATAGGACTTTGCATACTTCTAGTGAACCCGAAATAGAGAAACCTCCTGATATTGATAATGAAACTTCTATCTGTGATGCTGAAACTCAATCTGGTAATGAACACTCACCTAGTGATAATGAAAGATAATGATGAGGTTCATGAAGACACTCAACCAAATAATAATAAAGAACCAGATAATGATGTTGAGATAGAACCACCTGTTGATCTTGATAACCCACAACCTAAGAATAAAAGGTATGATAAAAGAGACTTCATTGCCAAAAAACAC